AACAAGTTGTTTATAATATATCCATTGTTTTAACAAGTTATTTAAATCATTTCAACTTTATTTATGTGTTTAGAAAAATTTACCAGTTGAGTCCATTCCATGAATATTTGAAAAATGTTACCTTTCAACTGGGCGAAAGTCAGTAATTCAATACTTTGTAGAACAGAAAGGTGGTCAAGGGTAAGGTCAATTTCTTCTGATATTCTTGGCGTGAATGTCACCTCTTTGTGCCATGTCATATCCATATGAGCTACTCTGTCTACTAGAGAAGGTCCAACCTAAAAGAAAACCAGCTCTGTGAATATCATGTTGGTGGGTTAATGAACATAGACAAGGGGAGAATTTTGACATTTAACCAAAAATTAAAATTTTAAAATCATTACAAGCGAATTCCAATGTATTTCGAATTGAGGTGCTTAATTAGTAAAAACAAAAAATAAGAATAAAAAATAGGCGAAAGTAGTCTTTTAAAGCACGATTTCCTGAATATCTTGTAGTTTCTTTATACCTTTACGATTTTATAAATGCATAACACATTACTGGAGTTTTCATTCCTAAAAAACAGTAACACCAAAACAAGTTGAGTATATTTGTGAATGTTTTAGAGATTTAAAAGATCTCCAACTCTTTTAGTGGTAATACCATCGTGGTGTCCATTTTTAAGGGCCTTTAGTTGTTTCATAACCAATAGTTACATAAAAAAAGGAGATTGAATTTCTGGAAAACCAACTGTTTACGCCAAATTATATCCACGTGTATAATCTATACAGAAATAAAAAGAACGACTCGATAGTTGTCCAAAGCGGAATTTTGAAACTCTATCACATACTTAATGAAAAAAGAAACAACTTATACATACGATACATGTATAATAGTTGGGTTAAAATACGAAGGTCTAACCAGGACATTTTGTTACGTTGTACCAGTTTTTGTCACTTTTTTACAAAAGTAAGGTAGTTTAATCTATAACGCTATATTCAGGGCGAATATGAGGCATAAAAACAAGCAACAGTTAGGCTTAGACTTAATATGCACATAAAATACCGGATTACAAGATTAATATGAGGCATAAAATAGCATTTAAGCTTAAGCTGCGACTCTGAACGTTAGTACACAACACGCAGTGTCTGGTAAGTATTTTCCTAGCAGACTAAATTGTCGACAACAAATTAAATATATCTGTAAGTACTTTTTGGCGCTTCTTCATATCATTAGTGTAATGACTATTAACAAATTAATTGAAAGTATGATAATGACTTTTTTCCAACAGATATATTCTTAGTTGACGAGGAGATCGATCCAATAGAACCTCCTCTTGACACATTATAGTATTCACTCATGAATAAAACATTACAATAGAACCTCCTCTTGACACATTATAGTATTCACTCATGAA